AAGTCACACAAGGGCGACAATGTCAGCACTGGAGACCACCTACAGCTCCCAGAAAGGGGGGGGCGGGAAGTCTGGGCAGGAAGGCTCTCCAGGGGCGGCAGCATCTGAGCATCTTAGTGCAGGAGGAAGAGGATGGAGCTAGAGAGCAACAAGACCGCGTGTGAAGTTCACGGGGAGGTGAGGTGAGGCTGGTGGAGGTGAGGCTGCAGGCCAGAAGGGGCTTCCGAGGTCTCCAGGTTTAGAGAGCAGTGCCGTGAAGCTGGCCTTTGCCTGGAGGGCAAGAGGGAGCTTTGGACAAGGTCGTGGTTTCGTCCGATTCACCTCTGGTAGCGTTTGGAGATGGGTTACCTGGGGTCCAGCTGTGCCAAGTCCAAATGCCTGCACACAGGTGGAGGCAGGAGACAGTCAGACCCTCCCTCCATGGTGGAGTGAGGCTCCCAGAAACCCTGCAGCCTTGTGCCAGGGGTTCAGCTAGACAGGGGAACTGCTGGCGCTGCCCCCAGGCCTGGGCCCTAGAACAATGCCAGTTCAGCATCCCCACAGCCCGGCCCAGCAGGGGTACAGAGAACTGGACCCCACCCAGAGCCAGCTGGCCTGGGTTCAAGGCCCAGCTCCACCACTTAGCAGCTGTGTGCCAAATGGCAAGTCAGCGTGAATGCATTTAATGTGTATTGGGCACCTCCTTTTACATGCCAGGCACTGTTCTAGGGACATGCATGGTAGGTACGAGGCAGGGGCTTCAAAAAGTTCGCTGAGAAATGAAATAAAAGATCATGGAGTTTTCCCATGCCTTTTTTGAAGCCCCCTGTAAGGTGCCATCGGTAAGGAGCGCTGGTGGCATAATGGTTACGTGTTGGGCTGCAATCCGCAAAGTCAGCAGTTTGAACCCACCGGCCACTCTGAGAGGGATAGAGGGGGCTTTCTACTCCCCTAAAGGGTGACAGTCCTGGGAAGTCACAGGGGGCAGCTCTGCCCTATCCTGTAGGGGCACCGCAGTCAGCAGTGACTCCGTGGCAGCGAGTTTGGTTTGGTTTTTTAAAGAGCCCTGATGGCAGGTGGGGAGGTTATGCATTGGGCTGCTAACCCAAGGTCAGCAGTTCGAAACCACCAGCCGGCCTGAGAGAGAAATACCAGCTTTCCATTCTCACAGAGTTCCCATCTTGGAACCCCCCAGGGGCAGTTCTACTCTGTACCCTACAGGGTCACTATGAGTCAGAATCGCTTGAGTGGCAGTGAGGAGTGTGTTTTGGGTTTGAGCCCTGATTCTGTGGAGCATACTGTTCACTAGGGGGAGGTGACGATAAAGGAAGACACTTTGTCGTCTGTCGGAAGGTGATGCCCACAATGGGAACAGGTGCAGGAGTCCGGGCAAGGACAGATGGCGGGGTGGGGGGGACAGGGGCTGAGGTGGGGCAGGCAGGGTACAGTATTACATAGGGGTCATGGCAGGCTCACTCAGGATAGTGATGGGGGAAGAAGCGGAGAAGGGGCCCATCAAGCAGGTGTGCGGGATGGGGTTGGGGAACCTTGCCCCTAAGACTGAGGAGAGACGGTCAGAGAAGACGGGGACAGAGGCGAGGCCAGCTTCGGCTTTTACTTCGGCCACCAGGAGGTTCTTCATGGAGGAGAGTCGGATCGGGAGTTTACAGAGGACTCCTCTAGCAGGGGGTGGAGAGTAGATGTGGGTGGAGGAAGAAGCCAGGCTGGGGAGCGGGGAGACCAGCGAGCAGGCTGTCACCCAGCCCAGGTGAGAGGAGACTACACTCCGGTGCCTCCATTACATCATGTGCAAAATGAACGCACCAGTCACGGCAGCCTGGACTCTCCACCCACTGTGGTCTCTGGGGGTCTCAGGGGTGCATGCTTTACAGGCGCAGGGGACCACCAGGCCTTTCTTCTGGGGCACCCTGGGTGCACTGGAAACTCTAGCCTAGGAGCCCTCAAACTTTTTAAACAGGGGGCCAGTTCACTGTCCCTCAGACCCGTTGGAGGGCCGGACTATAGTTAAGAAAAAAACAAACTACGAACAAATTCCTATGCACACTGAACAGATCTTATTTTGAAGTTAAAAAATAAATGGGGCAAAAGCACCCGGCGGGCCGGATAAATGTCCTCAGCAGGCTGCAC